CTCTGGCCCACCAACGGCACCAAGATCTCTCCGGTTGCCTCCTCCCTGGGCCACTCAGCTGGGAAAAGTAGGTCCTGCTTCCCAGCAGGGCACCACAACCGGCTTTCTGTCGGGAGCCACAGGACTGTGACTGTCCAGGCAAACGCTCCTCAATGCTGGTTTTGGTGAACACAACCTCAGCCAGGACGCATGCCAAGGAGTGGCAGAAATGCTTTTCTACCCTGCCTTGCTGAAGCATCTTCTGCAGCTGCCTTAGCCCACCTGCGACGAGGGCAGCCACCCCGAGCATCCCTCTGCGGCAGCACCGCTCCTCCAGCCACGCTCGCCTACCCCTCCCGCCCCGGGCACTTCTCCGCAGGGCTCCATGCCCGCGGCTGGCCCGGCACAACCCGCGGTGCAGACCCACAGCAGGCCACTGCTCCAAGACCTCCTTGGCCAGCGGCCGGGGCTGCTGCGGCAGCACAGACGCTCCCACGTGGCAGCAGCACCGCAGGCACGAGGAGAAGCGCCCCGGCCTCTGCTACTGTTCGTTGGCTCTGCAGCACAAGGGCAAAAGCCCGGCCTGCCCCACGCCGCTGTGCCACACACCCACGCAGAGCTCTCCCAGACCCGCCTCTGCCTTCCGTCCTGCTCCTAAGCAGGAGGTGGGATGGGGCTGCCAAAGCAGCTGGGGGCCTTGGGCACCTCCGGCACATCTGGAAAAGTTTCGGTGCTGCATCTCAGGGAGCAAACAGCAGCTTCCTTTCAGCCCTCAGAGCCCCCGCGCACCGAATGCCCGCCCCTCTTCGCCTTTCAGAGGCATAATGAGTAGGACCCAGACACCGGCCGACAGGGATTTATTATCCTACATTCATTTTACACAAGAGGTTCAATGCCAAGCTGCCACCACCCTCTGTGACTCCCTTAGGCCAGGAACACAGCAGCTCCTCCTTAGACACAGGGGATTTTCCACCGGCCTCGTTCTGTTAATCAGCAGTTTCTTCTGCTTCACGTTCCCGGTGGGAACCAAGACTCGGGTTTTTTCTGCAAGCTCACAAGCAATAAAGCGTTGCGGTTGCTTTACGGCCCAAGACGCCGCCGCAGCAGCAGCACCCCCCCGTGGCCTGCCTCCATTTAGACTCCACGGGAAAGAGACGGCATGAGAGGCGGCGAGAAGCCAACAAGCAGGCTTGAACACGATTCAGTACTTCTTGAACTCAATTCTTTCTACTTTCACCTCATCCTCAATTAGTTGGTATACATAAGTCACAGCCGTGGAAGCCTGGATATCCATCAGTACAAAAGAAGGCACGATGCTCCTGGAAAGAAAACATACCTTTGTCAATCTTCCCACTGAGCTTCCGCTTCTTGCTATTAACACACCTCGTGCTCATGTATTCTTACACACTTGCTTGCCAAGGGCTGCAGGGATCTGGGAAACGCTGCAGTGTGCAGGCACTGACAGAAGCCTCTCAAGCAGAATCGCACTTCTTGGCCTAGAAGAGCCCTGGAGCCGACTGAACGGCCCAGAGTCGTGTCAGGCTCAGACTTTTAAGCTGGCAGTGCCTCCCGAAGTCTGATTTCCTACAGACTATTACCACGCAGCTTCTGGGAACACAGCAGAAAGCAAAACGACTTCAAGTGGCTGCTGCAACTCACCCCTCTCCAGGCCCAGGAAGCCGCCCCAGACACACCAGTGCCGGGCTGCCAGGGCCAACACGTGGGCCGAGTAAAACCCTGGTAGTGGGGCAGCCCCAGTGCATTCCCCAGGAAAGAAGAGAGCTGGCCTCCTGCTCCTTACAGCAGCTTGCCAGCACTCTGCAGCATGGTGGCTGGACACTCACAGGTGAGCACACACATTTCAGGTAACACCTGTGGTCTCTGCTGCACTGAGCAGCTCGGGGCCCCCCTCACTCACGTTTCTAAAGCACTGTAGGCTCCTGTAGCTGATCCTGGGTTGATGTAGAATTTGTTTTCATGTTCAAATGCTTCAAATCTGTGTGTGTGTCCTGAGATGAGAATGTCCACATCAAGCTGCCTCTGCAGCAGTGCCAGGCTGGCCACATCACCCCAGGGAATAACTTGATGGCCATGAATTAGCCCGATTCTGAACTGCCCGAGGGTTACAACTTTCTCTTCAGGATAATTCAGGCTCTGAGAAGGAGAACAGCACAGCCTATAAGTCAGCTGAAGACCCCTCACCTATGCAGTGCAGGTTCCTACATTCCATGACATGAACCCTCTTTTCGCTATTCGAGTGCACAAGGTCTCTTTCAATGTGTGGACCCACTGGATGCTTATACCACACCCCAGCAAGAGCAACTGCAGAGCAAAGAGCAGGGGATCTGTGCCAGACCAGAACCGCATGGAGATCAGGAGCCTCTGGGCTACCCAACAGTACATAAATACACATATAAGCCCCCAGTTCCTGCAGCTACAGAACCAGCTGGGAGACCCTAGCAACCTCACAGCAACCACAGACAAACTTGTGCCAGAGTTCATATAAATGAAGTGCATGTATTGTCCCTCCCCCACCCAATCCCCCCTGCTGCAAATGCGACAAGAAGGGTCTAGAAAATAATTTTGTTTCTTCAATCTTACTCGTTCCTACTTCCTATCCTGGTGAATTACGGTTCAGGCATTGCTAATGCTGAAGGACTCCCCAGGTTTCATCGAGACAACCACAGCATATGGGAAGGTAGGCTGAGGAATTAACAGCAGCAAGAACGTTACCTCAGAGTCCCCTCTAACAACGTGGATGTCCCCAGCCAGAGTACTGAGGTAGTCATAGCTCTCCTTGGTGCAGAGGTTTCCTGTACACAAGATGTGCTGAATCTTTCCTGGAACCAGCAGCTGCTTGAACTTCACCGGTAGACCGCTGCACCGGTGTGGAATGTGAAGGTCTCCTAATACTAACACCAACTTTGCACATGGCAGGAGGAAAGAGAGAGTTTTAACCCAGGTTTACTTCACAGAACAGCACAAAGCCTTTTTGCCACTCCAGGGCGTTTACAAAGTCTGGCAAACCATTATAGGCCCAGCAGGGATTTCTTTCAGATCCAGCTTTGAGGAAGCAACCCCTCAGCGTGCCCGGGCTGTCCCGCACAG